GTAAAACTTTCTTTGTTAGACGAATCTTAGAAACAAAATTAATCAAACATTTTCCTCCCAAAATTATTTGGTGTTATGGAATTTCTGTTTGAGAAGATGTCTGACATAGAATTTCATGAAGGCATATATTTGATGTAGAAAACATTACTAATGTTCTCATAATAATAGATGACTTAATGAATGAAGTAGGAGATGACAAAAAACTTTCAAACGTGTTCACGAAAGGAAGCTATCATAGAGATATTTCCGCAATATTTATTCTACAATATATTTTTTGCAAGAAAAAACAAACTAGGAATATTTCTTTAAATAAATTTACCTATGTTGTTTTAAAAACGTTAGAGGCAAGCAACAAATCTCTTGTCTAGCAAGACAAATGCATCCATCTCAGTCGAAATTTCTGATGGGAAAATTATGAGAAATACTAATGTTATACATATGATTACCCACTTAGTGAGAGATAGAAAAATAAAACCTTTTGGGTACGAATCATTTAACAAATTTTTAAAAAGGAAAATTTTTTCCAATGAGTTTCTTTAAGAATAATTATCTTAAAACGAAAACATTGCATGCAAAATTTTTGTCATGGATAGAATATTAAGTGTAGCTTATGTTCTTAAATATATATAAAGTTTTAGTCTGTTTTATTTCTTGTTTCATACACTAAAATATATTAATATAAGTGAAATAATTGAAAAAGTTGAAAAATGTTAAAAAATACTGTAAAAAATTGAAAAACATTGAAAAAAAGTGGAAATATATAGAAAAAAAGTTTAAAAATATTCAGAAAGTAAAAAAATTGTTGATGGACTTGAAGGTAGAATATTCAGGTTAAGAGCAATAGTGATAAAATTTCTGTTTTTCCTATTAATCTTTAAAAAAATAAAAACCTTATAAATTTAAATATTTTTCAGAAACTTATAAAAAATTTCAATGCAAAATTATATTTATCTTATAATTAAAATAATAACAAAAACGCAAAATATAAGAACACTATTGTATTTATTCAAAATCTAAAATTTATTCTTACATTATATCTTTTTTTAAAATATTGGTGCAATCTGAAATCATTCTGTTTGCTAGGAACCAATTCATATAAAATATAATTCATTAAAAAGCCTTTACTAATTTTCAACAAGAAAAATATACAATAATGACCCCATAGAAATAAGGAATATCCCTTGGCTAATTCATTTTTCCTTTTATAGAACAATATGGTAAAAAAAAACTATTATTTGTAGATTTAAAATTTAAAAAAAAGTATTTTACAAAAATCGTTGGGATAAAGAATAGCGCAATATATGCTCACAGAAAATTCATTTTTAATCTTTTTTATTATTTTTTTTAAGCATTCTATGTGAAGCATTTAATAAATAATAAATACAGTCGACAAAGTGCATGCATAAAATGAAGAGGAAAAATTTACATTCAAACATGAAAGAATAAAATCTATACAGAAATCAATATCTATAAGAAACTATGACAAATAAATTCTCATTTTTGTAAAATATTAGTTTTCATTTTTGTATGACGGTAACCGAAAGCTCAAGTCGCGTCATACCATCTTCAAGAATATCATCGAAGGGGCAAAGTGAAATTTTTTTTAAAACTTTTTACAGAATGTATTTGATGTATAGAACTGTTAATGGAATTAAACTCTTCACGACTTCTATATTTATTAATGAGGCAATTTTTATAGTCTTCATGAGAGGTTTTACTTTTTTAAATAGATCTATGTACCCGTTCTGCTGTATTTTTTTTCTAAAGTTAATGTTTTTATGCTGCACATTTTTGCTTTTGAGACCTACGAATTCTGTTGCTACCATTCCATTTAACTCATCTTTCATTTTTCCGAGAACATTATTATTTAAATGATTATAAAGAAAATGATTTGGAGGATAGCTAGCTGTGTCAAATTCAATGGAATTATGAAACGTATCTTTATATATATCTGAAGTTGAAATAATATAACACAGAGAATGTGTATCTGTAAATAATAATTTAGCCCGATCTGCGTACATCCTTTTGATATAATTATAATGAAAATTATACATTAAAATTTTGTAAATGTCTAAAATTGAAAAAACCAACATACATGGGTCTGTTCAATAAAAGAGAAGTAAGTGTTCTTTGAATAGATACAAGGTCGCTATTAATTATTTTATAAGCATGAAATACTGGAGATTCTATCAATTTCTTAGCTCTTTTCTCACTATTCACTAAATCAATATGAGCTCTATTGCGTAAATTTTCCATCTCTGAATGTTCCCCCTATACTAAAAATATTGCTAAAGAATTCAGTATTAAGAATTAAAATTAAATATGTTCTTCATTACAGCAATTTGAAGTTATATGTAAATTTAGGTTTAAAGGTTAAAAAATACATAAAATTCTAAAATTCAAACAAAGTTCTTGGTTAAAAAATTATATTGATTTTAATACTGAACATCGAAAACGAGCAAGTAACAATTTTGAAAAAGATTTCTTTAAACTCATAAACAATGCCGTGTTTGGTAAAACAACGGAAAATTTAGGGGTTTTGTGTTCCACAATTATAAAATAAAAAACAGTGTAAAAACTTTAAAATTGAAAATTAAAATAAAATTCATCCACTTTCACATTCTTTGTGTGTTAAGTATTATGCTTAGTCAATGGAGCACACAAGGGGACTCCGAGTTCTGACCCCCTTGAAGGGCTTGATTTCTTTTCCGTTTGATTATAATTATGTGTATATAGTACGTAAAATTTAATTAAATATTTGTCATTAATAATAAATTTTATTAATTAATGCTAATTATTTATTCAATAATTAATTTTTTACTGGTTTTTGTTCCTGAAAATCGACTCAATCAAAAGAATATGTTGGGTGGCGTATTGGAGCATGATACGAGAATGGGGGAGTTTCGACCCTCACCCTTGAAAAATTTATGTGGGAGATACTGTGCTTAGTTATAAGCAATACAAAAATGGGCCCTTTTTGCGAACATTTTGGACAAAACAACTAAACGCTTAAAGGGTTAAGAGATACGCTCAGAGCTATTGCCTTAAAGTGCTTTACTTTTTTTCCTGCTATTCTTATACTTGAATATTTTTTATACTAAATGTCATTATTTTGGGTACCCAAGCGGGATATTATTTAAATTACCAATCAAAGGGCTAAATTTACAATGGTCACAGGATCAATGCAATCACGTGATCTCCATCTATTAATTATCAGTGAGGCAGACAGGTATTTTTCAAGAAGAGGGGGCGAAAATCCACCATTCTCGTATCATACCCTAGTAAGCCGCCAAGCATATTCGTTTGATTTTGTCGATTGTCAAGAACAAAAAACAGTAAAAAATAAATCATTGATGAAATAAATAGCATTAATTAATAAAATAAATTATTAATAAACAAATATTTAACTAAATTTTGCGTACTATATATACATAGGATTATAATTAATCGAAAAATTAATAACAAGGGCCATTGGGGGAGGGGTAGATCCGGATCCGGGCACCCCCCCTCCATTTGTGTGGGCCAATATTTATCACTAATCTCCTTTTTTATATCAGTTGTCTTTATAGTTTGCTTATCTCCATTTTTACCTACATAAATAATACTTTTTTTAAAAAAAAATCATAAACTCCCCCAATTTGTATCATAGATCAAGACAACACCAATTGATTCTTCCGATTTTGTCGATTTTGTAAACAAAAAACAGTAAAAAATAAATTATTGAATTAACAATTAGCATTAATTAATAAAATAAATTTTTAATTACAAGTACTTAATTAAATTTTACATTATATATATATAGGATTATCATTGAAAAAAACTCAAGTTCTTTGGGGGGTTCAACTCAAGTTCTGGACCCCTAGACACCTCTCTCCCTTCTGTGCGCCACTGGAATTTTCCAATGCCTATACATTTTAAAACAAGTTCTTTATAAAATCAAATTATAAAACTTGTGTAGAATAGTATTAGTATTTAAATTTGTTTTTAGTAAACAAATCCTAAAATATAGTACGCACTTTTTTACACGACTTTACATGATTTCTATAAAACTTATAATAGTTTTAAAATTTAATTTTCTTATTTAAAAAAAAAATTTTTTTTGGAGAAATTTTTTCCTTTTTTTACAGTGAAATGAAAAGTCGTTAAAACGACTGAAAGAGTTTATTCTGAGAATACTTTAAACATTAATGATTGTTAAAAAAAAGCGGGACTAAAGACCGCTATAAAGTTACTGTAGAAGGCTGATTTTTTTTCTTTTCAGGTAAAACAATCCTGAATCTCTAAGACGAAAAGAGAATCTTACTTTATCCAAACTGCTGGTTAATCCATAAGATTTATACTACTTGATGGGGGGAAAAACTTTAGTGTAAAATCATTGGGGAGGGGGCTCCAGTATAAGTATAAAAAAAGGGGTGGGGGTGGGGAATCATTTCTGCAGTAAAAATAAATTTGCTCATAAATTTCTTAAATCTCAATTTTTTTCAAAAAAAAGTTTTAAAAACTTATTTTATTTCTTCGTTATCATTTTATTTATAATTTATTAGGAATTGTGCCCCTCCCCCAAATAACTTCCAGAACAAACTCAATTTTTTTTTTAAAGAAAAAAAAATGAAATTTAAAAAAAAATGTTGCGAATTTAGTATTAAATTGAATTTTAAAAAAATTAGGAACCTAATTACTAAAACATTTTCTTAATAGAATCTCATCAGAGATAACATTTTGTTTACGTATTTAGAAAAAACCTGATTCCTTTATCTTAAGGACTTAACGACTGCTGAATGTTTATAAACATAGTTTTCTGAGTTAAATTAATCCAAAAATATTATTCTTATCTAATTTTCAGAACACGAAGGGGAAAAAAGGAAAAGAAAGACATTTTCGGAAGATAACTAATATGTTTTACTCTTTACTCACTATAAGTGATTCCCACGTGGTCTAGTGGTTAGGATTCCTGGCTTTCACCCAAGCGGCCCGGGTTCGATTCCCGGCGTGGGAAGGTTGGTTCCACATGGTGTAATGGTTAGCACTCTGGACTTTGAATCCAGCGATCCGAGTTCAAATCTCGGTGGAACCTTTTATTTTACTATTTTTTTTCCCTAAATTTTTTTTACCCATTTTCTGTTTTGTGAATTGCAACAACAGTTTTTTCAAAATACGAAACAAGAAAAGGAAAAATGGAGAATTTTTATTCGCTAAAGTATTCCTCATTGATACAATTTTACTACGAAGTCAACTGGATCCTATTTTGAATATTTTTTAAATCAATTGCACATTTGTATGTTTAGTAATCTCTGTTCCTATTTAGTCAATTTCCGAAAATTAACTGCCCCCTAATGTACTCAAACATGCTTCTAAGCACTCATATTCAAATAATATAATGCTTACTCATAAGAAAGAAAAATTTAGGCTGTAATCGGCCATTTAAGCCGACACAGCACGATTCAATTACAAAAATCAGTCAAAAAAAAAAAAATCAAATCAAATTTGTTTAGCCTAAATCTCGTTTATATATATATTTCCCTATAATCTCAGAACATTCGAAAGCTTTAAGTTTAAAAAAAAACAGTGTTATGATATATTTTATGTTTGTTTTTATTTACATCCCAATGGCAAACAAAAACTTTAAACAAATTTATCACATCAAGAGAAAAAAATAACCAGTTTATGTTCATTTAAAATGTTGAGGCTTTCTTCCCGTTGTGCTTTGATATTTGTTCTAATTATTGCCCTTGATACATGTAACAAAAGTTGGTGCGCATTTTTACAGTAAAGTAAAAGTCTTTTTTTTTTAATTTAGAAATTTTTTTAAAGGAATTTTTAATAAGTGTTCATAAAAAACAGTATTTTACGAATATCAATCATGTTGTCATAATACTCATACCAGCTTTTGTTACACATCGTTTGATGCAATTTGAATTTCATGTAATTTCGTCAATTATTGTAAAAGTAACATTTTAAAATAACTTCTTGAATTTTTAAATTTTTCCTTAAAAAATCAAACGGTTAGCTTTTTGTGGTATTTTGTGCACAAAAATTGTATTTAACATAATACATATACATTAAAGGTAACGAAAAAAAGTTTCAAAGATTTTTTTATAAATCCAGTCCGTTTAAATTTCCCTCAAATATGTTAAGGTATCCGACTACCTTAAAATCGTTAATTTTGCCAAACATTGGCATTTTTTTATGACTTTATTTTATAGGCCATCTTATGAGCTTTATAAAAATATCAAGATTATTATTTTCTATTCACTAGAACAAAAACTACGTGTATTTTAGAAAAAAAAACAGATGCCACTACTTAAAGCAAGAGGTCATACTTCAAAATGCGTTTGACTCGAAATGCGTGTTTACTTATTTATTTATTTTTGAAAATGCTTAAACGGGGACAGAGATTGTTCAGAAAGTTTTGAAAATAATTAACTGAAATTTTTTGTATATGTTCTGTGTATGATAGTAGAAGTGTTTTAACCTTCAGATTTATCAATCACTGTTTTATTACAAAATTTACAACCCCTTATGTGAAAAATTTTTTTTAACCACTTTCATAGAACAAGTAACATAAAGTGCTCTAGTTTTTGTAAAAATTAAAACAGCTCTTATCTTGAAAATCTTTTCAAAAATGAATAGCAAAACATCACATCAAAGTTGAAAAATTTAAAATTTGTTTATAAACTTTTGTAAGGAATTATTATTCCTTCTCCCCTCTAACCCTGGTAGATGCGTAGGAGGAACTAAATGATCAGACGACATGATGAACTCAAATAATTTATTTATCTCTATATTTAACACAGACACAACTCACATTCTTATTAAGATAAATTTGATCAATTAGAGCCCGAAGGTGAGACAAGATAGCGTGGGGACAATATATACGATCATGAGAATCTATCTTTACGATAACTTATACAAAGCTTGTTCTAAGAAGGGTATTAATAATTTAACTCTCTAACTTCTACTTAAAATAGGAGCACAGTACCTGAACTCTTGCAATTCTTTAAACTATTTGACGTGGCCTTGAACACTAATAATTGACTTAAGCACTTCTTAGAGATTCCAACTTCTCTGTTTACGTACTACTGCCGGATTGCTAGCTTCGCATTAATTCACTTCACATCTGGGCTATCCTCACTTCACTAATCTTCAATTCTCACATCCCTAACTCTTAAAACTCGTGAATACAGAATCTATATATTAAACTTAATTTGCATAATCAAGTTTTAGTACCCTCGGTGAAAGTTGGTTGAAATAATGCTCGCCCTAAAGCAGGGATGCACAACCTATGGCCCGCGGGCCAATTTTGGCCCGTGAAACCTTTAAAGTTGGCCCGCGAATGTTTATTATAAAAGAAGAGTAATCTAATATGGAATTGACCCTTTTTAATTAAATAGGGAAAAATCGTATACGAAAACAGTATTACAGCGAATAATTGTTTTACAGTTGTGCATTAAGTTTTTTTTAAAAATTTAATACGGGCTTTTCAATATGTTTCCTTCATGGATATCTGCAAGTACGAGTTTTCGTATAGGAGAAGTTCGCGGATGTGATCATCGGAAGCCATTATTTCTTCCATCGCATAGCCTGGATGCAAAGAAGGTCGAAGAACAAATGCGTATTCACGTGTGCATGCCGGAACAGTCTCGATTCGAAATTATGCTGAGCCAATCAAAGCCAACCTATCGAACTCTCATTTTTCTTCATGGTGAGTGTTACCAATAATAACTTTAACTTCTACTTAGCTGCAACGATCATTCGTTTACGCAAATTCGTGGTTTTGCTAGTAGATCGGGAATGTTGAAATCGCTGTTACAGAACGGATCTGACATTCTTTTTGATTTCGTATTTTTAGTCTAGTATCATTTATTTATAAAGCCATGTAAAATATTTTAGATAATAAGAAAGAAAAAAGGGGATTTTCAAAATTGGAAATTTCAAGATGCATGGACAGATAAATACTGTTTTATCTATTACAATGATACTTTCACATGCTTAATATGCAGTGGCAAGGTTGCTGTGGCAAAACGTAAAGTGGCATTATGAAGCAAAGCATAAACATTTTGCATCAATGAAAGGATATGAACAATCGTAAAAAATCGAACAACTCAAAAAAACTTTTAGTAGTCAAGCAAATTTTTTTCAAAAATGTACAGTTAACTTTTGAATTCATATGGGGAAGTGAGCTTATGCATGACTGAAATTATCGCTAAAGAAGGCCAGCCATTCACAGATGGTGATTTTGTTAAAAAGTGTTTGTTAATTACATCTGAAAAACTTTGGCCCGAAGCCAAAAGGAAATTTGAAAATATAAGCTTAAATAGAATGACTATTCAAAGAAGAATTCAGCAGTTGAATGAGGACATTGAAAATCAAGTAAAATCAGCCGCTTCGAACTTTATATATTTTTCTTTAGCTGTTGATGAATCTACAGATCGAACATCAGTTAGCCAATTGCTCGTGTTGTTCGCGGAATTGATAAAAAATTTGGTGTTGTGGAGAACTTCTTGGAATGTTTCCCATGAAAGGGCAAACAATTGAAAGTGAGCTTCTTTAAAGTTTGATACATTTGTGCGATGCAGCTTCCTTAAACATGAACAACTGTGTTAGCATTACCACAGATGGAGCAAAATCAATGATTAGCACGAACATTGAAATGGTTACGCTGCCAAAAGAACGCTTTGCCCCTTGTGGTGTTGCGGCTTCATTGCATTATTCATCAAGATAATTTATGTGGTAAAGAATTAGGATTTGCAACCTTAATGCAGTGTGTATGTGAAACAATTAACTTTATTTAAAGTAATCACGGAGAAAAAAGAAATACTCAAAAATGACTACATGGACATACTCATTTTGAAATGAGTTTGTTTGTATTAGATTTGAACGCATGCATTTACGAATATGAAACATTACATGTGTACTCAAAATTTCAAAAAATGGTTAATTAACACTATTAAACAAATTAAAAAGATATTCAGGATTAAAGAAGTTTTTTTAATATACTGGCTACATATTTTAAACATTGGGGTTCAACAACAAATTTAGTTCTCATAAATCTTCCGAACTATTTTTTGTTTCTACCACGCTACTCGTGGACGAACACATGAGTACTAGATTGTTTTGATTTTGTGTTATGACTTTAAATCAAAACAGTCTTTTTGTAGACCTTTGAATTAAATTTTTCACCTATTTGTTTTACAAAAGTATGTGCCTTGTTTTAATATAAGGCTTTTATAGGAATTTAGCGAAAAAATGTGATAAAAATCTGCCTTCTTTTGGCGGATTACTTAAAAAAAAACAAATTTAAGGTATGTGGCTACCTTCGGAGCATTTTATTGAAGCATAAATTTTCAACTAAAAAAACACTTTTTTCTTTAAAAAGGTTATGCATAGAACTAGGAATTAAGGTTCAAGTGTAGTATAGGGGGGCCCTTGGCGATGTCAAATTTTTTTGGTGACCAAAATCGATCGCCAAGCTACTTCACTTAGCGATAGGTTTCCCGAAGCCAGAATGAATTCGTTATCTCACATTAATATCTATATAAAAATCGCAAAATCCAAAGAAAAATCGCAAAATCGAAAGGTTCGAAAAATCGCAAAATCGAAAGACCCCTATACTACACTTGAGTCTGGAATTAAAATACAATTCCACAAAATTTTAAATTATTTTGGACAGATTGGGAATTTTTAGTTAAAAATTGCAGTTACAGTAAACATTGTATTGAAAATTCTAATTAATATATTCAAATAATATTAAAACTGCACAAAAATAACAACATTATCTGTGCCTAGAGCGATAAAATTTATAATATTTTTTGAAATTTGTCAATTTTTTAAAAAAAAAACATGTTTTTTTCTCACAAATTGTATGTGCAATAAAATGCATAAATACGTACACAGATATTATAGTCTATAATACAAATAAAATAAAATAAGAATTTTCTTAAAAATTTAATTCAATGTCTTAAAAAGAAATCCATTTGTGAACTTTACCGTGAAGCCAAAAAACATAGTTTCTCTTTTAAAGATTTAAATACAATATGAAAAATGTTCTACTAGTTGTACATTTCTTAAACTCAC